CCATTGCCTTGCTAAAGTAATAATCTCTTTATCTATGTTCATTGCTTTTGCTACTATCCCGTCGAAGTGATCTGCAACACCTAATACTGAGGTGCTCTCTTCCTGAATTATTTCTCTTCTATATTCTTTTGTTATCTTCTTAATAAAATGCTTTGAGTTTTCTGTATTCCACATCTTTATCTTGATTGTCTATCTTGTTTTTGTTTTCTTCTTTAACTAATTCTCTATTTTCTATATTGAAGTGACTTCGTCTTTTTTCACTAATTCTCTGTATTTTTTCCCGATTACCTATGAAAATTCTGGTTCTCATCTTGTATACTTCTTTTCTATTGGTTAATTTTGTATTACATTCTAGCAATTTCAATCACATGTTTGAACATACATAGCTCACCTCCAGGAAATTTTTCCCTCACATGATGATCATCCCGTGTTCGTGTAATATCTTATCAATGATTTGTATTTGACCAATCAAATCAAAATCTAAAAAATTCGATTTTTTTCTAAGATTTTCAAAAATTTGCAAAGACTATACTCATATTTTATTTTTTTCTTTCGTTTGAATTAATTTTTTTACTTTGATACAATATTATATTTATTAATTATAACTATAAGTCTTACACAAATAGGGAAATAATAGTAAAGTTACATAACAAGTGTAAAATTAAAATTTATAAAACATCATTTGCTTATCACAATCTTTCTACATTCTTGATAATTTTTTTCTATTCTTTAATACTTCACACTTTGCTAACATTTTTTCTATTCCATTCATAGCCTCTTCTGCAACACTAAATAATATAGTTAAAAAAAATTCTAATAAACCCTATTAACAATTAATTTTTTTTTAAAAAAAAAAATATATTTTATAATTTAGATAACACTAATAAAATGAATCTTGAATTATATTCAGTACTTGCCGAAGTGGACAGAATGGGGTTTCCATTAGCCTATATGTTGCTGACCATGGCTACTACAATTATTGATGGCGTTCATACTAAGATAATCACCCAATTTTTTGATAAATTATATCACATAGGAATTAACTCAACCTTTGTTATGACTGATAAAGATTCTGCGTAAATCTCAGTAGTAAAAACGATATAGCCGGATACTTACATTCAACTTTGCTTATAGCATCTAAAGAGAGCAATAAAAAGGCAATTGGGATTAAAAAAACAAC